AAAAAAAATTCAAAGGCTTTATCAATGCCTAGAAGCACAGTGAAATCTATTATTAAGAAGTGGAAGGTGTTCGGTACAACACAGACCCTCCTTGTATCAGGACGTTGCTCCATACTGGATGAAAGAGCCAGGAGGAAACTGCTCAGAGAGGCTATCAAGAGGCCTACAGCAACTCTGAAGCATTTGCAGGAATTTATGACAGAGTGGTCATTGTGTGCATGCGACAACAATATCACAAATTCTCCACAAATGTGGCTTTTTTGCGAGGGTCGCAAGAAGAAAGCCACTCCTCAAGAAAGGCCACATGCAGTCACAACTGAGCTTTGCCAAAACACACCTTGAAGATTCTGAGGCAGATGAGACTAAAATTGTATTATTTGGCCTCAACACCCAAGCATATGTCTGGCAGAAATCCAATACAGCTCACCATCCAAATAACAGAATTCCTACAGTGAAGCACGGAGGTGGTAATATCCTGTTATTTGGGGTGTTTCTCTGCAGCAGGGACTGGAGCACTTGTCAGGATAGAAGGAAAAATGCATGGGGTAAAATACCATTAAATTCTCGAGGAAAATCTGCTGCCCTCTGCCAGAAAGTTGTCAATGGGAAGGTTTACTTTCCAACATGACAATGACCCAAAGCACACATCCGGAGTAGGAGCTAATTTGGTTCTCGAAAAAGGCAGTCCGGTACTCAAAATCTGTGGAATGACTTGAAGACTGTAGTCCACAAACAATCACCATCAAATTTAACTGAACTTGAGCAGTTCTGCAAAGAAGACCAAATATTGCAAAGTCTAGATGTGCAAAGTTAGTAGAGACATATATCCCAACAGACTAAAGGCTGTAATTAAAGCAAAAGGTGGTTCAACAAAATACTGGCACGGGTGATCCTTTTTCCAACTCAGTGATTCTGTTTTTTTATTTATTTTTTCTCTACATCTACAGATTGTATATTGTTGTGTCTACAGTAAACTGCCTGAAGTGCTGAGTTCCATGTATGTCCAGTATGTGTCACCCTTTACCCGTTTTATTTATACCCCTTACCTACAATCAGCAACAGAAGACTCTTGGGCCACCTTTAAAAGTTATGAATTTTAAAGATAATAATAAAGCAGACATAATTAAATAAATAATTTTAGAGCTTTTCTAGAAAAAATAACCTTTTTCCAGAAATGTTTGCAAATACTTCTAAGGTTTTAGAGGATGAAGTCGGTTTCCCTCAAGTTAACACAGATGTAGTTCATCACATTAATGCGATGACATTCATACATGTTTAGGCATGAGCGCTGAATACTGATGAATAGCACAACAACCAGTTGAAGGTAAGTGAACTAATGTCTGTTCATTCATACTGAGCAAACTGTAAGAAATTAAATTGCACAGCCCCAAAATCTAGTGTCATATACACACACACAAAAAATTGCTCTGAGGACAAGCCACAAAATCAATCCATTGCTCCATACTCTTTATTTCATTTAGGTAATCCACACAGTACATTATCCCCATTCACTGTAAAATAAGATCTTTAAAATCATACACCCATCTCATTCACTGTAAACAAATTATTGTATGAGAGCAACTTGTTCATTTAAAGAGCAGACCATTGAGTCACACCTCAGAGTATTCCCGTTTTGTTCCTAGTATGCAGATGCCTAGAGTTATTGATCAAGTAATGTGGGATCAAGAAACAAACAGTATTATGCTGTGTTCAATGCACAAGGGAATGTATTCTTGTCCAGGAAAACACTGCATTTTACTTAGTATATAATTAATACAATTAGCTACCTCATAAAGATCAAAAAGAACAGGTGTGCTGTAAATTCCGGTCTAAAGATCCTCGTGGCTACAATGCTGTTGTGATTCTCCTGAACACACCAGCATTTGCTTGTTTACATCAGTTATGAATTTATTTCATTTATACAAGATCTGTAAGTAGCACAGATTTCAAATGGAATAGGAAATATCAAATATCTGAGCACCTAGGGCCAATATTGAGGGGGACAAAGAAATTTTTGAAAATATTGTCCCGGGCCCTGTGAATATTGGTGATGCTGGTGACCCTGATCTGGCAACAAAATAATATTCAACAAATTATAAACACCAAAAATTCTTCCCTAACCACCACACACTTTCTATCTACTTTCACAGATATCTGTAATGCATAACACTTAAAACCTTCAGGGAATCTTGAAGAACAAGGACTGTTGTGCTTTTGTCACAGTTAAAAACAATGAGTGGCTACCGTATATCCACAGAAATGTACATGCTCTCAGTTTGATTTCATTACTGCCAACACTACATTCAAGAACTGAACAAATGTGGCACATCAACAGTCTCACATTAACAAAGATCAGAGCGCTCAACACACAGCTAACTGAGAGCTGTTACGCTCTCTTGGTAGGTTATGTATTAAACATATTTAAATACCTCAACACATGGAGACTTAGTCAATTAAATGGAAAGTTCACAAAGATTAACATTAAATCTAAAAATACATAACATAACCAAAAATACATGGAACTATTCCTTTAAAATACAATTCTCTGTCTAGATAGAATGTCTTTATGCAGTTGCATTAATACTTAAAGCCAAACTCAACGGAACCATCCACATACTTTGGCCATGATGGCAAACAGAAACAGGATTTATGGAAAGGCAATAAAAGGAAAAGTCACACTAGTTAAAAAAAAAAACCATTTGGATTGTGTCCTTTCTTTAAAAGATACAGAAAATGACACATTAGCTTCCATTAGTCATTGACCTCTATACTGTTTGATTATTCTAGTTATTCTGGTAGGTTTAATGTAGAGCGCTGTGTGTTACCTTAAACGTAACAAAATATGGCACATGAAAAGGCAGTTTTTAGGGTGGACTGAAGTAAATGGCCTTTCATTAAACAGAAAACAGATGCAGGTTTGATAAGTTTATATTGAAAAACAATGTGTTACCTTGAATTGCTAGAGGAGTGGACTTTGGAACAGTCAATGAGAACACGTTGAACTTTAACCGCACACTATTTTCACTTACAAAAAGTTTGTTCATGCACCGTCGACAGGCAGAAGAAAACATATGAATATACACGCTATTATTGTATAACATCCTAGTTAAACTCAAATACTGAGGATAGTAAAATAGATCAAACTTCTTAAAACCCATGCTGTAGTTTATCGATTTATTAAACCTGCATCTAAGGAAATGTGCAGCAGAGGTTTATATTTGGCAACTTTTTCAATGGATTGCACTATTGTCATTAAGAGGTCCCTTGACTTTTCTTGAAACTGAAATGAAATTTGGCAGTAACATAAACTGCAAAGACGAAATACTGACATCAACAATGCAATACAGACTAACGGAAAAGAAAAACAAGGTCAACACCAGCTATCTTTGATCCTTACTGAAAACGACATTGAATGGCACATGGAATAATCTGGCAGCAAACAAAATTATTTCAGAAATTTAAAAAAAATAAATTACATGTGTATACAGTAGTGTGTACCGTCATACACGTCAGACAAAAGATCAGCAAAAATCAGCAACGACAATGAGGATTTAGCTTAAAAACAATTAAAACAGTCAAAAATGTAAAAACATCTTACAAAATGACTGAGTTGGGATGTCCTGGAGAGGAATGGGTGAACTTTGGCACACAAAGAGATGTTTTAGATGGTACGTGAATCCATTACAGTAGAGAGCAGATTCACCGACGTTTGTCTTTACAGTCCTTTGTTGAAGTAGACAGTCTCTACTCCAGGATGACAGGCTCGAATCTTCTCCTGCAGCTCTGGTTCCAAACGGCTCAGTGCCATAGAGCTGCATGATTTTAATTCGAAAAAATAAAAAATAACAAAAAATTATAAAGTGCAACAGAATGATTCATAAAACAAATTATTCTGAAAAGATTCCTAAATCATTCAATCCAAACATTTTTGAGAACGTTCTCACCTCTTTTGTGGGAATAACGCACAGCACAATGGGGTTGCAAACACAAGGCTAAGAAAAAGAAAGAATGTACAAAAGAATGGGTCACAAATTCTTGAATGCCTTTTAAGAAACAACTGTTTATTAGACTATATATCTATCATTGGCAACTCACCAAAACCCAACCAAGCCGACCTGAATGGGTGCACTCATCCACGGAAACCTCTGAAAAATAAAGGGGGGAGAAAATCAACCTGGCAACAAAGCCCATGATTCTATGGGGCCATTTTAATGGCTACTGCATTCAAGCAGACCGGACACTGTAGTTGGGTGTGTGCGTGCTCTGCAAAGGCTAAACAACTTTCATTAAGATTTTCATTCATGTAAACAAAATGTTTATAATGTAGGTTAGAAATTACCTTCACGAAGGCCTTCTTTTCCAAAGAGTTCATTAAAAATGGAGGGATGGCTATAGGAAGATTTAATTAGAATGATAGATTATTTATTTGTTATTACAGTGTCCCATAACCAGATAATGCACTTTGATAAATCAAAATCGCATGTGCATAAGACCTACAGTGGGGGTTTTAAATTTGAGACCAGACCACTCACAAAAATCCTGATATTTTATATTCTATTACATATAAAATTCCTCAGCATTATTACTAGGTTTAAATTAGATTCCAGATTTTCAGTGTGGTCTCAGACTTTTGTACGGCACTGTACGTGCATAATTTTATAAACATAGGTGCAAAGTCCATTCTATTGCAGTCAGTTTAAAGGGTTACTCCACCCCAAAATGAAAATTTTGTCATTAATCACTTACCCCCATGTCGTTTCAAACCCGTAAAAGCTTCGTTCGCCTTTGGAACACAATTTAAGATATTTTGGATGAAAACCGGGAGGCTTGTGACTGTCCCATTGACTGCCAAGTAAATTACACTGTCAAGGTCCAGAAAAGTATGAAAGACATCGTCAGAATAATCCATCTGCCATCAGCGGTTCAACCGTAACGTTATGAAGCGACGAGAATATTTTTTGTACGTGAAGAAAACAAAAATAACGACTTTATTCAACAATTCGTCTCCTCTGTGTCTCTCCGCATCAGAGTATCCACTGAACAGAGGAGACGAATTGTTGAATAAAGTCATTATTTTTTGTTTTCTTCGCGTACAAATAGTATTCTCGTCGCTTCATAACGTTACGGTTGAACCACTGATGGCAGATGGACTTTTCTGACGATGTCTTTCATACTTTTCTGGACCTTGACAGTGTAATTTACTTGGCAGTCAATGGGACAGTCACAAGCCTCCCGGTTTTCATCCAAAATATCTTAAACTGTGTTCCGAAGACGAACGAAGCTTTTACAGGTTTGGAACGACATGGGGGTAAGTGATTAATGACAAAATTTTCATTTTGGGGTGGAGTAATCCTTTAATAAAAGACAGATTCAGAGATTTAGAGTAAACGAACCCATTCCCGGAGAGGCCATGAGGATTCTGGAAACCACCACTTGTGTGATGGCCTGTTGAGCTGCCTTTGAAGATTCTCCTAACCGATTGTCATTCTCATCTGTTACTGGAATGCCGTGTTTGAGTTCCCTGATTGAAAAACAACATAGTTTACATCACTTCATGTATGTTAAATGAACAGCAGCACACAATATACACTACCGGTCAAATGTTTGTTTTTGGGTTGTTGTTTTTTTAAGAAATTATAATTTTATTCAGCAAGGATGCATTAAAATAGTGACAGTAAAGACATTTATAATATTACAAAAGAATGCTGTTCTATTTTTGCTAAACTTTCTATTAATCAAAGAATCATGAAAAAAATGTATCAGGTTTCCGCAAAAATATTATGCAGCACAACTTTAGCACTGATAATTATAAGGACTGTTTCTTGAGCAGCAAATCAGCATATTTGAATGATTTCTGAAGGATCATGTAAAAACTGGAGTAATGGCTGCTGAAAATTCAGCTTTGCCATCACAGGAATAAATTACATTTTTAAATATATTCAAATCGAAAATAATTATTTAATATTTCGCAATATTAATGTTTTACTATATTTTTGATCAAATAAATACAGCCTTGATGAGCATAACAGACTTCTTTCAAAAACATAAAAAATCTTACCAACCCCAAACTTTTGAACTGTACATATAATATGCATTGAGAGACCTTTTTTGCGATTCCAGTATTTCATGACTACCGAACAACCAATTCTGAGCAACCCTTGTAAAATTAGGTCAAAGCTCTTTATGCAAAATGATTTACCGTTGTCTCATGAGTGGAATATTAATACAGTTAGCAGCAGCTACAGCAGCGAAAGGAACAAAGCGTCCTATTAGTGGAGACACATGCTGAAAGACAGTAAAATAATTTTTAGTTTAAACATAAATATTGATTAATACATGAAAACAAAAAGTGAGCACTGAGTAGTAAACACTCTAATATGTATTACTTTGCTGTGAAAGTGTTACAGCCCTTAAACATTAGAAAGCAAGACCATTACCTTTGCTAATGCATTTAGTCCTAAAGCAGTAGCCACGGCCCCTGTGGTCGCCGATACATATGCTGTGCCAAGCTGGCTGCAAGGACATATTAGGAATTTAGGGATTTTGCAAATTAGGTCAAAGTAGAGCACAAGATAAATGCATTAAGTGAAACAAATGTTCATATGCATGATCTAAAGTCCTCTCACTTTTAGGGTTGGGTATCGTTTGAATTTTATTGATTCCGATTCTGCTTATCGATTCCCCTTCTTATCGATTCCTAGTTTCGATTTCAATAAGATAAAAAGTCATTTTTGTCATTTAATGTCAAACGTATTTATTCTGTCTTTTTACAAAGCATTCTGTTGCAGCTGTATAACATGAGCAAAAATCAGCAGCCTGCAGAACACTTAGGCCTACGCTTTTAGCAAAAATACCACAGCAAAAACAACTAGACTAACATACATTTCAAACATTACATTGATAAAGACAAGTACACAGTCAGTAATAAAATAGGGACAAACAAATCAATTATTAATATCATAAATAAATACAACTGAACAAATTTCAGGTAGGCCTACAGAAATTGAAATCAAAGGTTTAAAAACACTACAGTTTTCTTTTCATAAATAAAATATAGATTAATCCTCATGAAAGTTACGAAAGATATTCAACCAAGATCAGTGAATGATTTTCTTTTGTTCTTTGATTAAAATTAATGACAGGCAGCACGTTTATTAGGTTGCTGCCTCTTTAACACCGAATGCATGCGGATCTAAAATACTCATGCGTTTTCTTTCTCACCTGTTTACGTTCACTTAAGACAAAAATGGCTTGTGTTTACAAGGATATACTGATGTAATTTTGTACATATTGGTTGCAAGATGTGAAAAAGAATTCAGTTCTGGCCCGGAACAACCTTTTCTGCAGTGGAAATGCACAGAACAGTTCGAGAACAAATACAGGGGCCGGGAACGTGGTTCTCTATGCTCGCGCTTCAGATGTGTGCCGCGCACGCAAAACAGTGCACAAGTTCTTTCCCTTCCTGCGCTTAAATCGTTTAAAATCACATTAAAATGCGAACACAGGAATCGTTAAGTGGAATCGAAAATCCCCGTGTCTTACTGAATACCTGGTTATGGGAAATTTGGAACCGGTTCTCGATACCCAACCCTACTCACTTTACTGTGATGGGGGCGTCTCCGCTCCTGTTGGTATAGTTGACTATTGCATTGAAAGACTGATTGATCCACTGCCAAAACAGAACTGCTGGAGTTGTTCTAAAAGCAAGAAAAAAATATATAAATATTCAGCATTATTTGCGGGCAATCATTTATTATCCAGAATATATCCACCAAGTCCTACAGCTACACTACAATAATGGATTACACAGCAAAACCCAGCATGATTCACCTGTAAAACGTCATCATGCATCCAGTGATGGTCATGTTCATGGGGACCTGAGCAGACATGCGACCAATCAGGAGCATTTTCTCGCCTGTGTCTGGATGGAATGCTGAATCAAAAACATACTTTGCCCTCCATAGCTCGTCTTCTGTGAGACCTGGTGTTACCACCCCTTTTCTTCAAGGAGAAGAAAACAGAAGATGATGATGATAATAGTGTATTTGTTATCTAGAAACCTATGTAGCATTTGTAGCATGAAACGCTATAGACCAATTTCAGTGTTTGCAAACAGTGATGACGTTTTTGTGGGCGGAGCCTATCTGGTGGCAGAAAATGACAGTTTTAACATAGCAGTCTATTCAAGCCATGGAATAAAATAATAAAAATGTAATTTTGAGTCTATATTTCAAAAATTTGACTTTTTTCTTTGCAATTCCGAGATTATATCTCACAATTCTGGTAAGAAAAATCAACTCGTCATTCTTTCTTTTTAGTTTATAATTCCACACTTCTGGCTTTTTTTCCTCAGAATTGACAAACTCGCAACTGTTGACTTGAATAAAGTTATAAAGTCCAAACTAGGAGATATAAACTTGCATTAGCAAGAAAAAAAAGTCAGAATTGTGAGATAAAATAGGTAAAGTGTATGTAAAATGTTATAGGTTTAAATAGTATTTCATGCATGTATTTCACTGTGACGTCTACTCCAAATTGGTCTATACAAAAGCATATAAATAATGCAGAGTAGAATCTTACTTGTAATCCAGAATAATCTGACGTGCTTTTTCTAATTGTTCATTTGACAGAAGGATGTTTCTGGGGTCTGTGACGGTGAAGAAATGCTTTGCTCGTCCCACAAATGTTCCCTGATCCCAGCGTGGCTCTTTAATATTTATGGAGGTGGAAAGCTCAGCTGCCATGGTACACTGTGAAAATATTACACTGTTAAAAACACTTCTTTTTATCTTTTTTAACACACAAGTTATTTTTGATGGTAAGTACACTACTGTTCAAAAGTTTGGGATGGTAAGATTCTTTCTTTTTATTGTTTTTAAAAGAAGTCTCTGCACCTAAACTGTATTTACTTGTTCCGAAATACATTAAAACAGTAATATTGTGAAATATAATTAGAATAAAATAATATTAAATAACTGTTTTAATACATTTTAAAATGTAATAACATCTAGTGAATCAAAAGCCTTTTTAGATTTTTTTCCCCCAGAAACCAAACCAAATAATGCTTGCACATGACATTCCTCTCCTGATTAAGCCACCGCTGAATCAGCATGTAGCTGCTAAAGACACAGCTGACCAGCCAACCAAAGAAAAGCTTAAACATCAGTCAAACTGAAAACGAGTCCCCATATAAAGCAGCGCCTCTGTATATATGGCCTGTGTTTCTATACAAAACTAGAAAAAGTACCAGATTAGAAATTGAGTCTCAGGATATGGGATTGGTTAAAAGATAGTTCTCGCAAAAAATGACTTCAGTTACTCATTCTCATTTATTTTCATCTTTCTTCAGTGAAAGACAAAAGATATTAGACAGAATGAGGAGGACTGACAATCTTAATCAACATTCACTTTCACTGCATCATTTTCCTTACAGTGAAAGTGAAGATTACCGAGGCTCATTATACCAGACAGCAAGTTTTGCTTCCACTTAAGAAAGAAAGCCATATGGTTTAAAATTATACGAGGTTACTATTTTTGGGTGAACCAAGCCTTTCCAATGACAAATCGAAAACCAGCTTCATTATCAAATGCTTCAAGGTTGAGTTCAGATAAAACTTTAAGAAGAAACAGAATTTAACCATTTATTTACATGTGCATATTGCAAGGAAAAGCATTCGCAGTGGCAGAAATAAATAAATGAAATAAATCACGCGCTTTAAATGTGCAGCTTGGTGACATTTTATCTTGACAATGCACCAGAGACGGCTACAGAGAGGACAATAAATCAAGCGTTTCACTGCTGACAGCTACAAAAGTGGGCCCGTGTCTCTTTAAATCAAATCATGCTCATGTGTTTTGCACGAGATCACTTGATGCTTTGACTTGCGCTGCGTCCCGTTTGTAACGCGTTTCACTGGTGATAGGAAGACCGACTCAGTTGCTCTAATCGATTCTTTTGAACAGTTCGTTGCAAAAAGGTTCGAAAAGAATTCAGGGATTCAGTGTTGCATATTGAATGCTAAGAAACCTTTCAATATGTAGGCATTGATATTTGTTACGTTTTAATTCGATTCTGTTTTTATTAATAATAGTGTTTATGCAATTGAATGTGCCCAGATCAGCCATAATTTTAAAAAATGGTTTCAAATTTAAACTGTATATTTACATTAAGTACTAAAATTAAGTTAAATATCGCCGCATGTTTTTATAACAAGCAATTTAGTAAAACCAACTCAACTTTATATGCCTACGTTAAAAAGTAAACATTTTAATTTACGTTTTATATAACATGTTCTTCTATTTGGCAATAAGTTTAGTTTAGTTTAGGTTTATTTCAAATTTGACAAGAGATGATTCAACGAATCGTTCAGTCATTTTCGTAAACAGTCGTTTAGACAGCTGTGTGTACACAATCAACCGATTCGCTAAACAAAGATCCGACTCAAAAGAACAATTGATTCACGAATCGGACATCGCAACAAAGCGACTACATTACGTTTTCCTACAATGAAAACACTTCAACGGCCCGCACACATTACGGATTGCAGTGATAAGATACTGACCGATGCGCGGGCCTCTTGATCTGAACTGAACTTTGAACATAGACGCCGTGTTTATGACACTATCCCTAAACAGCCCGTTTCTTGCCTAATAGTATGCATTCATGACCATATATTACTCTGTATTATTTAAGTAGCTTAGTAATAATATGCATGCACACATCTTAATTCATAGGCTATATTTTATATGTTAAAACACTGATGCTCTTTAAATAGCAAACACTGTAGGATAAATTACATTATTTATATGGTGTCTCGTTTTGAAATCAATTGTTAGAATTTCATCATTGTAGCCCAATGGCAAAGAATGGTTCAAAACCAGTCAGTACCGGTTAGGTGGCTTCCATTGGGGTTTTCAATATGTCATAAATCCATATAAGAATATTGTTTAAATGTTATGATATAAATATTGCAGGGATGCTCCTTATGATAAACATCTTAATCAATGTAAGTTTTTATCTTTAAAACCATCTGTACAACTCCAGCTGTGCACCTCTTTATCAACCTCTGGATGCCACATCACAAATCCAAGTTACTGGCAGCATAAGGTTTTACATTCTAATGCAGCCAGTAAAAAGAAGAAGAAAAACCTATCTTGACAATGACATCCGTGAAAATCTATAAAGAAAGGTCACTTACAGTGCAACAGTGCAAAGCTCGCCGTCAGACCGAATCACAGCACTCCGCAGCAGCTATCAGTCTCCCGCACTGAGGCTAATTTGGTCTTTACGAATGAATGTGAAGTACGCTGCAGTAAACTCCGCCCTCTTGTCCAACCAGAGACGCTGTTCATCATTCAAAATAAAAGTTTTCAATAGCTTGGAAAATATTTGTAACATGGTAACACTAGATTTATATTCCAGAAAAGAGTTATATCAAGGAAATTAGATAAAGATAAACAAGTGGCAACGGAATGTTTGTTGCGTTCGCTCAGCGACTAAGATCAAACGCATTATCAGCCAACGAAAATACTTTTGTCATGAAATCAAAGGAATGCAAATATGTTGATTATGAAATTTAATGAGCTTCAAAGATGCCAAAACTGTTATGTCTTCAGTTTTTATGACATTAACTTTTAACTGTTGACTGTCTATATGAAAGATAAAGCATTACTATTTTGTATGAACTTTGTGTTCACCAAATAAATACAAAAATGCTCCAGCGCCTTGCCTATCATTTCTTAACTTGGCTACATGTAGTTTGTATATGTCATACAGAAGGGTCGCAATGAACACTTTAACCTTTTTATTATTACTCATCATTTAATTTAATCTCTACAGAAAGAGATGAATGTTACATAATTACCTTCAAAAACTAAGACCTTTTCAAATGCCTGTTATTTCCTGGAGCTAAGTAAAACGCTTTACTTAAAAGGTGAGTGATAGATTCTTCCACAGAGCTCGGTTTAAAGAATGTATTCTAAAGTAGTTATGATGGGTCTTAGAAAATACCCCATATAGCGGATATTTTAAACACCAACTAAGTCATTCCTGGTATGCTTTGAGTTTTCATGTCCGCAATTCTGATGTGTGAAATATTAAACTCAAGATTTTCAGTCATGTTAATCATATTACTTTTGTTTGATCGCAATATCACATTAAGTGAAAATAGCAGTGAATTTTAAGAGACACTTTGGTTTGAGCGTGTGTTGGATATTATTCCCCAACTTTTAATAAAGAACATGTTTTAGTAAATAAACGTGTTCACCTGTTCTTTTTTTCAAAAATGTCATAATTTTTTTTTATTTCCCTTCCCTTGTCCAAAAATTGAAAACATTACATCATGAGCAAACGTCGGATTTTATAAAATCTCAGTTAGATAAAATTATAGAAAACGGTGTGATTTTTTTCAAATTTTCACCCTCATATAAGCAAACTCTGTATCTCTCACTGAGCAATTCTGAACTTCAGCTCTTTATTTTCTTCCTATTACGTTCCATCCTATTAATTTTCAGTGTCTAAATAGTTGCCTGAACTTCACCAGACCATATTTTTTTGAAAGTCTGATGTACTGTAACCATTAAGATACAATTATTTAAATTCCAATAAAGGCATATTCATTTTTATAGTTTCAGTGCTCAGTACATTTTACTGCATGATGGGAATGATCCAGTTTGACAGTTAAAATCAATCAGCAACACTGCTAACATTTTGCACCGTCCTACAGCAGAGGAAGAACAGAAAGTTACAGCTGCTGTCTAAAAAGAAACAGGCTTTACATAGATAAATAGCATGAGTCTTTATTGCCGTTCAAATCCCTATTTAATTGTGCTCTGATTTACAAATTATTGGGAAATAATACAGTAACATACAAAAGCAAAAACAAACAAAACCACTGCTCTGTAAACTAAGAACAATAACAAATACTGCATTGAAAAAAAGTGCTTAAGAGACATCGAAAAGGGACTAAAACTAAAGTGTCTCATATCCACCTGTAACAAACACTGCAGTAAGCAATCGTTTAAAACAGAAGTCGGAAATTTGCCAGATGACAGCTCCTTGTGTACCCGAGGCCATGCAGCATGAAAATGCAGCTATAATACACAGCACTATACAACTTGTATATTATCCAGTCATAAGCATTTAGAGTGTATATTAAAAATGTTATTCCAAAACACAGCGTTTCAGAAGAATGCACATAAACCCATTAGTCTGAAGAAACCCTTATATCCTGATCAAAAACACAACAGCTTTTTTAGTACAGAACAGAGAAAAGTACATGATGCAGATGAGAGAGTACTATCACATTTGTGTGTTTGTAGAGATGACTGCATCTATCTTATTGCAGTATAGATATGGCACATGTTTTGGTCCAAGGACAGGGGTTTGTGTTGGAAAATTTGAACAGATGCCTTCTATGAATGTTCATTGTCCACGGGTCAGATAGTGCTGCAATACTGTAATAAAAAAAACCTTCCCATCTTACAGGAAATAATCTGGAGTGCGGCGAGTGACGTGAGGCTCTCCTCTGCGTGGTGCAGGGTCAAACTGTAAACTAAAGGAAATCATCCTGTTAATATTCATAACAGCAAAATTACAGATATATAACACAGGGAAAGGGGAGTTATCAATAAAACAGAAATTGTTTTATGCTTTATGTCATATACGTACAAGGAGTACTTGAGTGTGTCATCAAGTTCCATGATCGCAGCCTGGTTACCACATCGGTAGCAATAATTAGGTGCACTGAAGATTGTTACAACATTACGTTCATGACACCAGTTATAACCCTGTAGAAATAATTTTAAAAAATTATATTAGCCAGTACCAAATCAACGGTCGGTAGGTGTATTATTATCCATGTGTTACAAATTCAAAACAAAAAGTTATTTGAATATTTTTAGAATTTTGTGCAGTTTCAAATTTCTATTGCATAGTTTGTTTCAAATATGTAACATTTTTTCATGTTAGTTTAAATTACTCATGAAACAAACAACATTTAACATCTTCAACAAAAATGATATACGATAACATAATTATATACATTTACCTTTCAGATGATTATCTTTTATTGGGACTCTGCCTTGTCTGTTGGTTATTCAATTATTCAACTAAATTGTCAAAATACAATTTTTAACATTAATGACAATTTAAAAAATAGAATGCATAGAATTACTTTTGCTAAAATTTGTATTAATATTTATATATTCTATAAATGGTCATTAATGTGAAATACTAAATCAACTATTCTATTTAAAATTGTATTTTGACAATTTAGTTGAATAATTAAATAACCAACGTGAACCAGGCAAAATCCCAGTAAAACAGATTCATCTGAAAGGTAAATTTACTCTATGACTTTTATATACAAGCATATAAATATATACATATTAATTGTCCCTACTGTAATTGAAGATGTCTTAACAGCAACACTATGAATGCAAATTGAATGATTTTGCTCAATTAGCCTACAGGTTTTAATGAAAAATAAAAATGTCTGAAATGTACATCTAATTCATGGAAATACAAAATAATAACCCTGTTACAGTATTAAATATAAAAATAATATCACTAGTAACAACATGCAACTTGGGGCCTTCTGTGCCAATTCTAAGGGGCCCATCTTACCCCAAGGGACTAATTTTAGCTTTTTACTTCTAAAAATAAAACCTATAATTTTTACTCCAAAAATCTAGAAACATTCATGTCTCCAAAAACCCCTCATTAACAAACATTTATACATGGTAATCAACTTCTCTTTTACCTCCATCACTAACTGGTGAGCTCGTGAGACCAGAGTCAAGCAGTTGGCATGGTTAAATGTTTCTGAGATGTCCTGGCCAAACGTGTACCCAGCCCCCCTGGGGGAAATCCCCCAACCTCCACGGTCATCCGGATCTGACCACAGCAAATCACACATGGGACCCTGCCAATAAGATTTCATAAGGTCTGTGAGTAGTATTCACAGCTGCAACTCTTAATGATTTTGATTATAGTAACACTATACATCTTTCTGATATTCACATCACAGGCGGAATTAATACCTCATGGGGAACTTCTTGGATACGGTCCAATGCGCGGATGTGATCCAGCGTGTCAATTGAAGGTGACAATCCTCCATGGAGACAGAAAATCTGTGCAGACGGAGCAAATAGAGTTTAGTTTAAGCTTTATGTGCACTCAAATTACTATGCAACGTCTTTGTTTTGAGTCGAGTATAGGGGCTGTCTCGGTGAAGAAACTTTCCTTGCGGTAATTTTGAGTGCCTCCATATCGCAATATGCGTTGTTATTGCCATTTATTTATTAATCTATCTATCTATCTGTCTACATAATTAAGCTCACTGGTTTATTATTATTATTATTATTATTATATGTATAATAGTATGTTCCGATTCTCGAATCTGACTGGACAAGAGGCTTTCAGTGTTTTGACATATCAGCAGTATGAGCACAGGGACTCGTCTCTGCGCTCATTTTACAGACTGTCAGTCAGTGCAGTTACATTACACGCCAGGAGGTTACGGCAAGCGACTATTTACGAGTGAGTCAACTAATACTTTTAAAAACGCTGATTCATTCATAATTGAAACAAGGTGTTGAAATTCATTTTACTTTGAGCGCCACTTTACAAGGCTCAATTGATGATCAACTCGTTACCTGGGTAATGCTGAAGCTGATGTTTCACTTCATAGAGAACAATGCCATTGACTCACTGCATTGAACAGTGCTGACGCAGTCACGGGAAATCCCCTTAAACGCTGAAAGGATGCTATGACAATGATATCGCTTTCATCTTCTGATAACTGATGGCAAACTTATTGACTTGACCTGAAGAAGGACAGACGCAGGTAATTGCGCATGCTCAGATGATCTCTCTCTCTCTCTCGCCCTGTCTGTTGCAAATCTAAAGAACCTCTGTACAAATTCCAATGGTACACAGAGTCTTTAAGACGTAAAAAAGAGCCAGTTGGTGTAAAAATATTACTATCTTCACTTTTGTTATGATGTAGGCCTAAACTTAAAGAACATTCAATACATGTGCATTAAGTGTAAAACAAGGGCATAGCCTCATGAATATATATATAAAAAAAGTGAACATCGCGGTTGTGGCGGTTGCTTGTCAGTATCGCAATATTACAATATTGAAGTTATCACGACAGCCCTAGTTGAGTACAGTTACAAAGGATGAAATACTGTTAATCACAAACCAATTTACCTGTGTGTCTACGAGGGCTGTAAGAGGAAGGTAGTCAAAGAGGTCTGTGAAATATTTCCAAACATTTGCATTTCCGTATTTTCTCAGGCACTCGTCATAAAAGCCATAAACTTGTGTGATCTGTCTACTTTCATGATTTCCACGAAGGATGGTGATTCTCTCTCGATATCGAACCTGGACGATTTAAAATGACAAAACAAGCCATTAACAATGCAAATGAGCATTTTCTTGTATTAGTAACTTAAAAATGTAATATTAAAGCTGTGTCTATGCACATACCTTTAAAGACACCAGAAGTGTGACTGTCTCTACTGAATAGTAACCTCTATCCACATAGTCTCCCATAAATAGGTAATTGGTATCTGGTGATTTACCCCCGATCTTAAACAGTTCCATTAGATCATGAAATTGGCCATGTACATCTCCACATACTGTCACCGGGCAACGCACCTCCTGAACGTTTGATTCTTTGGATAAAATTTCTTTAGCCTGCAATAGATAAAACAGGCAGGTTAGACTTCAAAAGCACACAAACAATGATCTCAACTATTAACCACAAGTGCACTTAAAATTCCTAACAAACTGCAAGAGGCAACATTGACACTGACCAGTGATGAATAAATATTGGCATATGCTTAATGGGTCTTTGTTCTTGGAAATGGATTAAGAGGGACCGCTGTAAAAATGTGGGTCAGATAAACTTAAAACGTGGTAACATCGAAACTAACTCCTAATAATACAGTAAAAATAAATGAATCATCATCATCATTATTAGTAGTAGTTATTTTTTATTTTATATATTATAAATTATGTATATTTTTCACAATACAAACTCAGGCACATCTCCCTCTGTGCTCCACAGAGGAAAGTCAGTCATGCAGGTAAGGAACAACATGTGGGTGAGTGCATGATGACAGAATTTTCATTTTTAGGTCAACTATTTTCAGGCAACAACCGCACATTTTTTTACTTTTACATTGTGGAGGTAAAGTTATAGGACATTGAAAATTTTGGTTTAACAGAATAAGGTCATACTGATTAATACAGGTGGACTAATTCTAGACGCGCCACTTGAAATAATCTGGGCATTTTTAACATTGTTAACGTAAACTATTTACATAAAATGGCTCTTAAAAATAACATTTTATATAACGCAAAATTAGGTTGTTTAGGGTTTTTTAAACTGATGCTGGTGGATCCGAATGTTTACAGTCCCGTAAATTACTCGCTTAGAAAGCAAAAGGCAAACCCAAAACTCTGCCTGACAACGAATAACAGTAAAGTAGGCATAACCTGACGAGCTCTGGTTGCTAACTGCGCTGCACAGCCGACAACCAATAGTCACATTCATGGCGCACGGACGGCCAATAATAGAATAATTCGGCACCGCCATCTTCGGATAAGCGGCCAGTAGGAAGGGCGCACTGCAACTGTATCCGAGCCGATAACACATTTAGACGGTCTGCTGCTGCGCCCACGGGCCGCCTGACACAGCACCTGTTTTAACCATAGACTGTATAAAACAGGTTTTAACATACAGTGCAACACTGACATAGATGGTCGTCATACGGAACTCACCTTCTCGCATAAAATTTTCACTTGGTTTTCCGATAGTTGCTTGCACTCGTTCAGTTGCTCGATCCATTGGTCCAGTTCTTTCGTGAATACCTTTTCGTCCATCGTTAATTCCTTAAATCATTCAAGTAATGCTAAAAAATAATGTAAAATGACTCAAAATTAGGTTGTTTAGGTTTTTTGGGGGGTTGGCGTCATGCGTCAAAGTAATCAGTCCGTTTAAAATAAAGCTGTTGAGTCCTTGATTACTTGAAATACTTTAAGGCCGCAAAATGAACTAAAGCGCTGTTACTTTTACTCCCTCAAGAATAAATCGATGAATTACTGTTCTTTGTAAGCAGTAAACGATTAAAATTACAGCCTGAAAGCTCCTTTGATTTCGGTCAGAGTCCGGTTATGATGCGCCGCAGCGACGAAGAATCCGCTCATGTAGGTTGACGTCACCTAATCCGCATTCAAATTAACGAATCCTACTACTGCGAAGGCTTTATACTTAATATTCAGGAGCCAGGCCTTCTCCATTGGTAGATTTCAATACTGAATCTTTATGACCTAATTAATATTTATAAGCCAGGCGTTCGCAATAGGATGGCTATCAATGAACGTCAGCATGACTTTATTAATATTGACCAGTTAATTCTTCGCTATAGTAGCACTTGTCGCAGATATTGCTTTGTCTCTTGTGCGTTTAGTGCCGCCAACTGATGTACAAGGGGAATAACAGTTTTAATTTGTGAACAGCTACATTGTTAGGTTTTAATAAACAAATTAATAAAATAGTAATAATAATGATGATATTATTATCATTATTACTACTACTTTAATAATAATAATAATAATAATGATGATGAATTAATAATAATAATAATAATAATAACAATTATTATTATTGTTATTATTATTATTATTATTATGCTCTGTTGCTGGGAAGGGATGGATCTTTTTTCCCCTGTTTCTGTGTGTCTTATGTGAAGGAGCAGCATTTATTATGGTCTTTAACATTTTTTATTTAAATATTGTTATTCATATACTGCTTTAAATATTTCCTATCCATACATTGTTTTCATGTTCATATATTTTTACTTTCTCATATATCATATAGTTTACATATCTGACTGTGTTTTTCCCCCTGGAAGCTCTCATAATAAATAAGCTAATCATTTAAACACTGTCCTCGGAAAAAAATGACTTAAATGAAGAGAAATAATCATTTTAAAAATCCACAACAATACACATTCCGTATAGACACAGTGGCATGGTGACATTTTCAAATGTCAGCAACAAATAAATATATATAAATGAATACATATCGAGGACAAAAGCGGCGCGTGAGCTGGAACAAGGGCCTTCTGGTATTTGCTAAAGAATAGTATAAATTCCCACCAGCAGCTGACGCATGCGTATTAGCTATTATTACTATTTTATTATTTTTTCTAGTGAAAATGGCTGCCTTTCAGCTTTAAACCACAGCGGTACAGGGGGAAAATATCCATCCCATCAACCAGAATTAGCACGATCGCTTAGGAAGAAACCATCTTGCGGTTCAAGAATGTCCATATTCCTGAGTAAATAACATTATGCTTTTGCTTTCAAGAATGGAAGATAGAGCTGTTTCATGTTTAACCCATTACATTCCGTGATCCGCGTTCCAAATGAGGTAAAGTACTTTCTTTATTGCATTGTTTAACGCAAAATTACATCTGATTTATATTAAATTTAATTTTATCTGCAGTAATTAAAAGAATAATCAATATTAACGAGCGAATAGAGCTGGAAAAAATGATACAGAATAATAGGACAAAGACGGACTTGCATAAGCGATATTCCGCGGTCGCTGTACATTTTGTGACCAGACATTGTTTATCCAACTGTAAAGTGATGCGACATACTTAAAGTGTCAGTATTTCCATAGTTTATATAGCAACGCCTTCCTCTGCGTTAACTTTCAGTGATTAATTGCACAGGCCTGTTGTTTTCTTTTGATTGACGTCGTCAATCAATCACTTTCGATGCACGCGGTCGATGTAAGATGTTTGAAAAGTATTGCAATGCCTCATATTCAGTTGTTATTCCACAATACAGATATTCTTTTTATTATGCACTTTATCTCATTATATATAAAATGTTTTTAAATATATTTTATTTGAACAGAAAATGATGCACCAAGTAGCCAGCAACAGCAACGACTATGGTCTGGGTAGCATTGGGGATGATGGGCAACACCCAGCCAGTCACTTTGAGTTGTGCAGTTCACAGTCCAACAAATTTTACCCCACCGCCCCACCTCCCTCATTACAACTGCCACTCCCAAACTTGCCACCCTTGCCACAGAGCATGATCAAGCCCATGTCCTGCCAGATGCAGGACTCTCAGAATGAATTTCACTCCCAAGCCGTTCGAATGAGGGCTGCAGATGCTCCAGAGGGCTCCAAGAAAAAGAAGGGCCTCGGAAAGTCTGGACGACGAGGCAGGCCCTCGGGTACCACTAAGTCTGCAGGCTACAGGACAAGTACGGGACGACCGCCCGGCACCACCAGAGCAGCGGGTTTTAAAACCAGCCCAGGACGGCCACTGGGCACCACCAAAGCTGCAGGTTACAAGGTGAGCCCAGGTAGGCCTCCAGGCAGCATTAAAACTCTGGCAAGGCTTAACAAACTGGACTATGGCGCATGCAATGGTGCACCGTTCCCTTACACCATGATGCAGAAGAGGGCCTTGTGTGAAGCCACTGTGAAAGAGAAAGACACTACTACTACCGAGTGAAAACAGTTTTTTTATTTATTGCAAAGATGTGGGTGCATGTCCAATGTCACAGTGAATTGTGTTTGAGACGTCAAACTCTTGCAAGGAAGAAAAAAGATGGATTTTGATACTTCAACTCATGTGTATGTGCCAGTGTTATCCTTTTGTGTATCTTTTTCCAAAGACCATTAGCATTACCTATCTCGCTATGACGTATGTTAACCTATTGTACAGATGTGCATGATGGTGGTATTGTGAAATAAAGTTACAGTATTGAACACATATTAATCTGTTCAGTCTCTTAGACTTTGCTCAAGTGAATTGTAGAGAGAACTGCAATTGTGTTGTTTTACATTTAACTTTACCTTTTACTTAATACTTTTGATGTAAAGTTACTGCTGGGAACAGCCTTCACCATTCATAGTTTGTTTCACTCTAGATTTTAGGACATTGCATTTGACTTGAAAAATCTGATCACCAGTAATATCTCCTCTGTTCCGCTAATGTGTATGTGAAAGTGCTCTGTTTGTGATGTCCAATGATATGTTTATCTTTTTGTTGTTGTTGTATTTATGAAATATCTGGTGCCCTTTTCAGACAGAGGATGATGTGGAATTTTGATAAAATGTCAAGTCACAGATTTCAGCAATGGCATAATCTTTACACATGCTCTTGTAAATATAACTGCGAGTTTATACCAGCCAGTGTGTTCTGTTTAACCCAAAATTGTTTTGCTGATCAATGATCCACTCTAAAATACCATGTTTTTAACCACTGGACTAAAACAAGTCTCAGTTTTGTGTAATTAAATACACCTGATCTGATAAAAAAAATAAATAAACAGTTATCACTCCAAAAAAGTAAGCTGTGTGGGAAAACTGCTAAAACACTTTTTTTTTGTTTTTTTTTTACAAATTATTTATAAAAAGTTGGTATGAAAATGTCTCTATAACCAATTATTAATATATGACTGTAATTGTTTCAACAATAGAATGTATGTAGCAAAAATATGTAACCAAAAATATTAAAAATAACTGAATAACTGCATGGGCTAAATAGAAAATACTATATTTACATGTTGTAAATATGTAAATATTGTAAGACAAAACCTGTCAAAACATAGCATTAAAATAACGCTATGAACATTAAATGCAACAATCTATTGCATAATTCAATATAATAATGTAACTTACAATTTTACATTCTACAATTTTTACATTCTTTCCAAAAATAATTGTTCAAAATTGCTAAGATTTTTATAGAAACAGCGGGCAATACATTAGGTCACCTCATACTGTCTTTGTTCTGGTTTTAAATCAGTTTCAAACACTGAATGCGGATAAGTTATAACATGGTCAAATTCTCAAAAAGGGAAAGTTGACAGATTAGAATAGCTTTGCAAATGTATTGCAACTTCAATATTTATTTCATAGTGTAATCTTAAAATAGGCCGATAAACAAGTTACATTTTATCTCTTGACACAATGGAGGTTGACGCATGGCTGTGGCAAGCCATTTTAACATTTAATCTAACTGCCATCTGTTTCTGTTAGTAGCACACAGTAGTGTTTTTTTAAAAGCTGCAGTCCATAACATTTTTTGGTTAAAAATTATCCAAAATAAATTTTTGGATAAATTTAAAAAAAAAGTACATAACCAGCTAGCGTTCAAAACTATCTCTTTACCTTAGCCCGATTCACAACGGTAAGCTTGTAATAATGTGTTCTAAGTTGAGTGGTACCAGTAGGTTTCGAGCTTGCCGCCGTTCGTCGTTGCGGCATTACGTCACGTCTGTATACATAAAGAAGGAGTCCTGACCAGTAGGCTATATCGCGTGTGGATGCTGCAGGTGGCGGATCATTTAAATTGCTTTTTGAGGTTAAAAATAAAAATTTTTTTAAATTGCTTTTTTGTGGTTATAAACAATTTATTTAGATGACATTCGAATGGTATGACAATTAGAGATTAGACTGTACAGAAATTGAAATCTACAGATAATGCTAATAAAAACTAAATACACATAGTCACACAATGTTGATGTTGTTAACATGAACAATTTGAGAACAAAGTATAACAATAATAATAATTTGCATGGTTTGATGTGATCTGAGCTGAACTTTGTAATCATTCGATTTAATCAGCATTAGTAGTGCAATTTATTGTAAAACTATTGGTCAGAACAAAACTGGCAGATATACTTGTTCAGATGACATTCTCTGGTGAAACTTCTTATTTTGGACATACTTCCAAGACGTATCCACACTGACTGACAGCCCACACATACAACTCAAAACATTAGATTCATCCTTGCTGAGGAGCCATGCCAATGCACAACCCACGTAAAGAGGATAATTCCACAAATATCTGCAATTGCAGGTTTCAAACAGAGACGGCGACAAAGAGGCAAAACTTACAGACTGCAGCTTTAAAGGGGTGGTTGATTGCGATTTCACTTTTTTAACGTTAGTGTGTAATGTTGCTCTTTGAGCATAAACAATATCTGCAAAGTTGCGGTGCTGAAAGTTCAATGCAAACGGAGATATCGTCTTTTTAAATTCTGGCAGTTTAATGCCTACAAAAACGGCTTGTCGGGACTACAACAAGCTACTTCCCAGGTTCGTTACGTCACAAACCCAGAAATTTACATAAACCCCTGCCCCCGGGAACATGCAACAAAGGGGGCGGGGCCATGTTGCGCGTCTTTAGAGAAGAGGAAGAGTTGTAGCCATGCTGTCGAAACGAAGTTATTTTCACCCTGCTAACAGGTCTTCTGTGTTAGGCCTTCCTACGGATGCTGTACTTCGTGAACAATGGTTGAAATTTAATTTTAATTGTGTTCCTGACAATTACAATCCTAATGTAGCTGTCTGTGCTGCACGTTTTATTGAAGACAGCTTCCAGAATCTACACGATTTCATTGCCGGATTCACACAAAGGCTATTACTGAAACATGGAGCAGTTCCCACTTTAAAAGCAGAGGCAGCTGTTGTTGGGCCCCAACCTGTAAGTATGTTTTATTATTTAGAAATTTATTTTCCGTGTATAGTTTCTGTCGTTATTTTTTGGTTATATCAAGGACGTAAACAAAGGCCAACTCTGTTTCGCTTTAGTAGCCAGTTAGCTAAATGCTATTTCGTACTTCTAAGACAAACCTGTACAAACACCTACAAACTTTTATGTAATCACATACGACAATATTGACACCATTATTCACATTCCATTGGAACACATGCAACTATTGTCCATAATGGTAATGGGCGTGAAGTTTTCGGACAACGTGCAGTGCGCGGTTAACGAATCACAACACACTGGGCCAGCTAACCAATCTGAGCCCATTGCGTATTTCTGAGGGAGGGGTATCATAGAAACAGGAAGTCAACCGGCCGTTCAAATGACAATGGAGACAGCAGCTTACAATAAAATATATGAAAAATAAAGTGTTTTTTTTTTTTTAAACTAAGCATGAAGACATGTTACACTGCACCCCATAAACACAATCAAGCCAAGAAAAAAAGCAGTCAACCACCCCTTTAATTACTATTAACTACTCCTATAATGATTATTATATTTAATTTGATTAATTTATTTTTATGTATACGTTTTAATTTGGTTTATTTATTTAAATTTGAATGTTATTAATTCATATCCTTTGGATATGTAAGGGATAATGTACACCCTGAAGGGGGCAATACCAGGATGACATAATTAAATAATTGTACACATAATATTGAATCGAGTTTTAATATTTTATTAGCTAACCAAACGCAAAGCTTCCACTGAGAAAAACTGTTCCTAGCAAGAGTAGCACCGACTGCAGTTACCCGGATGAGCCAGTGTTATCAGCTTTTACCGGTTGTTATTGAGGGATAACATACCTCGGAATGTCGCGACTGACCAATCAGAAACAGGTATTCCACAGAGCCGTGTAAAAATAGCATTTATTTTTCTGCTACTATCCCAATGACAATTACTATTCCATTATTTCAGAAATGAATAAAAAAATTTCCCCACCATTGAATTCTATGGTTCATATGTCAACTATTCACTAATATGCTTTACAGTATCTATTCTAAGTTTAATAGTTAATTAATAAACCTATTTATGAGACACTGATTTCTATCAAATTTATTATATTTCTTAACTCACTGTTTACTTGTTTTTTCCTTGTCATGTCAGCGTGATTGTTTTATGTGAATTAAAAAATCTTACTAGTAAGAATAAACATGTTAATAATTGGAGTACAGCCTAATGTCTATTAACAATAAATATGAGTAGTAACATACAAGGTAGTTAGTTACTACTAAGGTAGGGCTGGGCAACTTCGGTCCTGGAGGGCCACTTGCCTTGTCCAAATACCCACACTTGCGGCCTTTGCACTTGACCACTTGACTACTTATATGACGTATTTCCTGTATTTGGACTAAGTGTTCAAGTGAGCATGAAGACCTCAAGTGTGTGTACAACTTTTCATTAGGCTTGTTTGAGATGAGCAAAATCTGCGCAGAACCGATCACCGGTGATCACCGCGAGATGCATGCCGGTTAGAAAAGTGTCAGAGTTATGTCCGACTTGCTCTGATGTCATGCTGACGTGTGCCAAAAAACTCTCGCGACGGCGAGGCAGCTGTGTCGGATTGTGCAGTCGAGTACAGTTGCTCTCCACCGACTGCGCTGATCAAAAGCATGACGGGAAACGACTGACTGACGACACAGCTTGTATTAAAGTAAAAATGGATGATTTATACGCCTTTCGTATGGAATTAAATAGCAAGCACTTTGAGTGTCTTGTTCATCATATTTATTTTTATATAAAGG